GGTACACAAACCGCCACATCACGGTAAGGTGGTCTCTTCATGACGGAGCATGCTTTTGCTAAAGCTGTTCTCAAAAAAAGTCTGAAATTAGTAAGTTGCCACATTGGTGCGTATCAAAATGCCGACTGTTACGTGCTGGCCTGAGACAAGCTCGTACGGTAAAAAGCAAATAACCTCAGTATGAATCGCGATGACTCCTTATATCACATAAAATTAGTGCTAGCCCCTAGGTGGCCCGAAGGAAAGCGACTGACACATGTTTTACAAATCAACTCTACGTTTGGAAATTCACCTCATCTGAACTATTAGAAATCAGGAAGACAAGTGCTACGGAATTACAAATGATACGGAGCACATAAAAATACAAGTTAAGGCTGGGAACCAAATGGAGACAAGTCAGCTCAGACCTCTTCAAACATTTCGTAGACGACGCACAAAAATGTACAAGTAAAAAACGGATAGAAAGTCACCGAGACGTAATTGGACAAAAAAATTACGAGGCTGACTTGCAGAAAAACGACAATTGTTTGTGCTTTCGAATAGTTCCTGGGTTGCAAGGAACATAACCACTCGGAAATGGATGTTGCTTCTCATGAAACAAATCGAAAAGTGGGGGTCACAGATGATACAGCAACATCAACTGGTACCAAAGTAGCGCTGACCAAAGTGAGTCGGAACAACCGGGTGCACCTCTGACGTGACAACGCGCAACACAGGATTGCGAACAAGGACGTTCCTGAGTCCTAAAGAAAAATAAAGCGAGAGACGCTAAACAGCGCATATGCGAGCACAAGATACGACAGAGGTCCTACTGTTCAACGCAACATGACTGGGAGAGAATTCTCCATAAAAGCCAGCCGGCCAGTCACGGAAAAAAGTCACTTCAAAAGCAAGTCAACTTACAAGCTGAGCTGCCGAAAAGGCCTTCGGGAGCTGCAGTTACGACATTTTCCGTCTGCTGATTTGAATATTGAATGCAAACAATAACTTTCATTTAATACGTGTCGACCAGAAAAACCCTACTACGAACCACTGGTGACGGAATGGCGCATACTTAAGGGGTATACCAACAACCTCAAGTGCCAACCATGTGGTTACAAGAGGACAAATAAGATGAACTTCCTGACTTCCTGTTTGTGGAATTGCAATAACCCCAGTTAGAACGTCTTTTGGCATTATTATAACGCCATGAGTTGACCGGTTCTTCGCATTGAATGGTAATCTTTACTCAACCAAGTTCGTTTCCTGATCGGCATCAGAACTTTCAAGTGTACAAGTACAGGACACGCACAGATGTCCAGACACTGATACCTACATGGTGTGTTGTACGTTCATGAGGAGATCTGAACCTACTTTGGAGCAATCAACCTAAACTGTGTGACAAATAATTCAAACCTAATCCGTCCCTGTTGGTGTGCACCTAAAGGGACGTGCCAGGCGTTTGTGCCAATGTACTTCAAGGAATATTCGACGAGGATGTGCTCACATTACAGGTCCAAAGGAATTTTTGCCGTAAGGCAAAACTTCTTTGGTGAGACCTCAAAAAGGCCAACCGGACCGGTATTACTAAGGAGGAAGTCATACTTTAGAAAGATAAATAGCCTGACACTTGTGAATGCTGTGCATGACCAAACGACCATTTTAAAGGAGGACCGAGCACCGCGTCAGACGAAAATGCACTGTTCAAGTAATGACCGCATTAGTCACCATGAGTCTTGAAAAATTCCGAAGGACCGCGTGATAGCAGCATTCTCTCAGTATCCAGTCGCCACACGCAATCGGAGTGCGCATCCAAGTGCACTTCATATAGTTTGCTTGACGGATTAAATACCAGTCTTGGTATTAAACAGTGGGACAAATAGCGGCAGAAAATTGGGTAAGAGGCAGCGAATTCTACAGAATCAAGCTCAGTACACCAGAAAGTATCGAAGAGAGTGATAAGTTGGCAGCCACACACACGACTGGCCATTACCTACAGTTTGGAAGCTGGAGAACAAATCTAGAGCTAGAAAGTACGTCAAGGAACATCCAAAGTTCGTCGATTCAGTATAGTAGCAGAGCTGGTCAGAATCCCTATGCATCTACTTGTTTTTTATTTCACGGATCAGTCAATAATGTTCCGCTTCAAACGTGTTCAGTCCTTCGCTATGATAGAGCCCAAAATAAAAGCGCATGCTAGACTGTACGCCGTGGAGAACCCAGTAAAATGGGCAATCTGTCAGCACGCTACAACGGTCGTAATCTAAATTAACGTTAGCTTGGCCGTGGCAAGCTTTCAAAGAAACTGCTGAGTACAGTACTGAGTAGTACTGAGTACTATCAGTGACCGATTGCGCGATTCACGCTTCAGTAGGCATCAATGTGTGAATGGCCGGTGTAAACCATTGACAAGTAGCGCACCTAAGTACCATTCATTCTTTTGTCACATTTTGTTGAACTGTTCCCGTTGTGATTGTGAGTGTTGATGTAAGCAGTACCACGAACACGTTGTGCTAAAGGTGTCAGGCTGATTAGCATTTTCACTTGCCCTTGGAACCAGAAAGACAGATGGATCGGCACTTAAAGGTAAACTCTCGGTAGAAACGAGAGTTCACCGCCCTCAAAAATGCGCACTCGGCAATCGATAACATCCGCTACCCGCTAATAAACATGAGTTTATAAAGTACCTGACCGAACAACCTTGATTTCTACACACATCTTGTGTTCGGCGTCTACTGGAACGCCAACTAGGTACACATTCCATTTGCTTTTTGGCACGTACCACACACGGTACCACTGGCTGTTTAGTCACAATCGACGCAGCTTTGTTGATCACTAGTCCACAAGCAAAATGACCTAGATTCCAATGAGGTACACAATAAAGTAAGTCTGAGAGTGCAAGCATGTTGCTTGCGCTAACTTCCGTCTCAACATTCCCGTTTAGCACGTCAGCTTAGGATAGGATCGACCTGATAAAGAGACTCATGCAATCAAGTGTATTAGTTATATATGAACGCACCGAAAAGGACTGGTTTCCTGAACCCTAATATTAGTTCTGATTTGCAACAAAATGTGGAAAACACTTTTCATCCGCGTCATACTAAGACCATTGTGAAGCCACAATCGATTTAGAGATATTCGGTGTGACGTTTGGTACCGAGTTCATCAGAGAAACGAAACTAGATTATTGCGATTTCATTGATGTGAGAAGCGCACAACCACCGACAGAAAAAAGTGAGTTCCAATGTCCAGGAGCGATTGGCAGACAGGAGTTAAAGTTGATCCACATCCGAAACTTCCAGAGTTCTAGTGCACGAGTACCTGAAGCTTCTTAGTGCGCGAACGTTCATGTACAAATCCGTTTCGCAAGAACGGTGCATTAATAAAGGGGAAGCTGAAGACAACACTGGACTAATGATGAACAATGGAGATGAAGGAAGAGACTAACGACTAGCTCAAAAACAACCGAATTTCGTAAGCCACAGGCTGCAAAGCAATGCTGAGTGTTGTGTAGTTCCCAGTCGCAGAAGCTGGCAACCATGTCAGAAATCACTGGTTTCTGGTTTTAAACCCAAAAATGCTGGAGATGAATCTTAACTTTTAAACCTAAACGACCATTATTTGAAACGGTGTGGACGGACGAGGAAAGGATAAGCTTTTGAATTACTGTAAGCTTACTGCAGCTAAAAACTAGTTCACAACGGTGGACTAGTTTTCGGACGAAAGTATGTTCAACCTCATTGTGTGAATCAACAGGGAATTCTAGGGATCTTCTTCGTTTGTCCTCGTAAAGCTGAATTTGTGTACATCCAGGCTAGCACTCAACCTTGGATGTCATTTTTCCAAAAAAATACATTTTACTGCAACTAAATGAGGTTACCTTTGGCCACATCTTTTCATCCGTTGGCATGGTGATCAGCACCAAACCAAACACGCGCAATTTTCTTCAGTGTTGTACTTCTCTGGGCCTAATTGATGTTATAATTGTACCCGAGTAGCGGTGTCACCCACTTAAGCCATATACTCAACGGCTCGACTACAATGTATTTGGGATGTGGTCATTGAAACAAGACGTTTCACTCACAATCGCACAATCCACAATGCTTGTACACGAAAAACCGATCAACGATGAAAGGTCATCTCAACAGGCTATGCCGATTCGTATGGCTGGGTGTGCTGTAAGTCTCGATTCAATATTCCGAGGCTGTCGGTCTAGCAATTCGTTGATGCTCACGAAATGCTGATGTATAGGCGATTGCAACTTGTTTGACTGACGATAATAGACCCTCCGAATGAGTGTCTTCGAGTAGAATTAAGCAAATGGAAGCATAGTACACGGAAACACGTTCCGCAACAAAACATTATTGGCCAGCAGAGTTTAATCACATGAATTTCAAGTGAGCTTCGTTTTCGACCCACTTACCCGATAGGGCTGAGTGAACAGCCTTGGAGGTTCAACCAAACAAATATAAGCAACGCAGCTTACTAACTTTCCACCGGGCAGTATGACTACTAACTAGAAGCCCCAAGTGAAACAAACCTGATTGTCTGTCTTTTCCTGAAGAAAAATACTACTCACAAAGTTACATGAGACTTCCTGACACCCATGACCTGTTTCGCTCCTCTGGGGGTTCACGAGACAAGCGCGAACTTCAAACTCACATTCTACTTGAACGCTAAACTAGCTCATGGAGGCGACTTCTCCGGCCTAGGCTTCTCCCAGCCCTCATGCATCCTTCTGGTGACATAAAAGGTAGGCACCAAAAGAGTGCTACAGCAGAATGGTTTTTACAGGTCGAAGAAATATCAAAAGCATTGCACAGCACGTCGCAAGCCCGTTAGATTTCATTGCTATTTTACCTGGGTATATTGGGCGTACTGCCTACTAAGGTGAAGAAAGGCATTATGACAAATGTACCAAGCGTGTATCAACGGCTCCAAGGATGTCAAGCCAAAAATATATAACAACTACTACTTTTTGAGAGCATCCATTCGGTAATTTATCACTACGTTAGTTTGTGCCCAAGTTGTTCCAATTTTACCGACTTTTGGAATGTGATCCTCGGTCCAACCAGCTGGTGCTTCGTCCAGACGACCCGCTAAGTACCGCTAAATAGTCCAAGCTATCGACTCTCCTTCATGCGAGGTTTTCAAAAACATTTCATAAGAATTAAAAGCTCACAATGTCTGATCAAATTTCCTATACTTAGGTATTGTCCGCAAGTTGCTTGTTGGAAACTTGTAAAGGTCAAGCTTGACTAATCGCAGTGGAACGAATTTTTTTTCATATTATTTTTAGTGAAAGTATCAATATTCCGTAGTTTTTTATACCTTTATCGAGAGCATAACCTGTTGATTTGAATAGAACACAACATCTAATATTTTGCTACAAAAAGTTGCGCCTAGAGCATGCGGTCAGGTATGATCGCCACAGCCGTAGCTGGGTTGACCTTGTTCCGAATTTCAAATTACGTTTCCATTTGCCCCAACTTTTGCATCTGTTGTCACACAAAACATGAAAGCTATCATGTGAAACCATAGTTGTCCTATACTTTTGTCACGGGATGTATTTTTATCTTTGAAACAGCAATTTCGGTTATTTTGTTTGAAAGTGCTTTGGGTAACTCGAGTAACGGTCACGTAAGTCTATTGCGATGATGTCCATCAGGCCTGTGGGAATCCTCGATGCGAAATTAGTTGTGTTTACATCGAGAGGAACTAGTCCAAGTATCTCGGCAACACATTTTTTAAAATACTTAATGACCTTTGTAATGTACTACTCATAAGGTTGCGTTGCTGAAAATCCATCCACAGCCCACGACCGGTTTCACCCTTTTTGGGGCACATCAGGTAGGCGCAGTCCCCGGGTTACGTCAACCTTATGTTTTAGTTGGAAACAAATTGCACGAACTTAGCGAGGCGGCCTGGTGCAGCACATTCAGTTACCTGAGAACATCACAATCGAGAAATTCAGTTGAGTTCCAGGTGGGTCTCTCGAAAAACCAAATTAGTTTGCAAATGAGTGTATATTTACTTAGTGACCTGTACAAAATGCACTATTCTGTACGATCAGACCGACCAGAGGCTTATTCATAGTGTTTCCGGTTGTTAAAAGCGGAATTTTTCCACAGCTAACGGTGTTCAGAACGACTCGGTTTTGCTGCTGATGGGCCTAGTAACATGACTTGAAGTGAAGAGCAGAAGGTGCTCGAGAAATACACTCATTTGCAAATCAATTTGGTTTTCACGCGAGACTCAATCGAATCTCTCGTTTATGATGTCCTCCAGCTGAATGTGCTGCACACAGGCCGCCTCATGATTCAGTTGGCACGATATTCGAGATATCGCAGTATATTTTCATAAAGGAAACTACTCACAAGCAGAAGGTGCTGTCCCAAGAAAAAAAAACAGAACACTGTGCCACCCCATCATATATTTTGATTACCTTAACCGGTTGAGACACGCAAGACTTCAACTACAGCAGATTCCAATAAGGGTTAAACCGTGTGATAGACTTAATAGAGGGTGATAAACGTGAAGTATTCAGTTCCCCAGTAATAACAATAATAATAATAATAATAACAATAATAGTCGTTCAGCTGTAATACCCTCACGGTTCCCAGCTACCGTGCCACCCGAAGGCCCCGCGAGGGCTGAGATACTGCCAGGTTGCCCAAGCCTAGACAGGAGCAGTCGATATGCAGAGGTCGGGTTCGAACTACAGACCCTTCGGTCAGTAAACCTGCGCGTTTGATTGTTGGTCTGTTCGCCGAGCTTGGCAGTTGGATTGCAAACGTTTCATCACTAATCGAGGTGACATCGTCAGTGCAGGATTGAGTGGGACCTGCGCTTTAAACACTCAGCCATCTCAGGGTCTTTAGTTCCCAAAATATGAGGCCAATCAAAATCAATCGGACTGATAACACCACCGAATGAAAACAAAGAAAGACGGTCTAAATGGGACCATTCACTTTCTGGTGACTATGACGCAACCCTCCAAACCAAGAACTATGATACGATTTTTTCACCTAAAGACCTGAGGTATACTCACCTTCGGGTGACACAAACAGTGTGAGCAAAATCACGTTTTCCATCGGAACGTCGTACGTCCTGAGTACATCAAGTGCCTTGAGCACGGTGTTTCCTGAGCCTTACAATGAGAAAAATTAAAAATGCCCAATTACTGAGCCATGTGAAAAGTTTCAAACTGAAGTCTAGTACAGTGTCAAAGTGACAGAAGACGTTTTGCTGACACAAGCCCTAGACGGGAGAATCTGTGTTTAGTCGATAAACCGCTTCCGAGAGATGATAATGAACGCCAATAACGTGAAAGCAAATTCGTCACCGAAATAACATTGTGAATAGACAGGCTCCGATCACTTTAAATACCTGGAAAGGTCTTCCTCATGCTAAGCTGAGGTGCCGACCTCAATTTTGACCAGCACGGAGTAGTGCTGCCAAAACGGCAACCTGAAGCTACTGGGCCTCCCATCTAAACAGGAATTTTTTTTATTATTTTATTATGGCTGATCTACACAATAGAGTGGTTGCTTGCACCTTTATCTGGTATGGGATAAGGTCGAAAAGATAGAAGTAAGTGATGTTTTACTTCCTAGGGGAAGTAAACTCAGCTACTTCACAGGACCTGCTGGTTCGAGCTTTGAACAACGGTGGTAGTTATTAACCAACAACCTCGATATTTTTAGCATTCCGTCTTATAACCGTGCTTTGGAAATGCGAGTGAAACTGACACACTCAAACCGGATTGGAATATCTCAGTAACCTGGATAGTGCTGCGTAGCAAGCAGTGTCATGGTGCACATCTCGGTGTAAGCTTTATGATTTTTCGGTCGGCTTATCTCTGCGATTTGTTGTTAACTTTATGGCCATGTACAATGCTGACAAGGTGGAAGTCTTAAACATAACTTTCCGGACGTCTCGCTGGCTACATAGCTGACTCACGCACCAATTTTTTTCCGGGATTCCACGTTGAGCGGACTTGTTTTACTCGTAAGCCATGGTGACTTTAAGGGTGATGAGCGAAGTTACTTTCTGGATGCTGAGAGACACCTGCAATCTAGTCCAATAAAGTTCAATATTCATTACCCCTCTCGCTCTAAAAACTGTGGTAATTCCGGTAAAAAGTTCAGAACGTATCGGTAACCAGTCAATTACGGCCGATCCATGAATCCATCTTATAGGTGACTGTTGTATGGAAGTGAAGGCGCACAGACAACAGTAAGACTACAGCTTTTGATGGCAGGGCGATCCATAAAGGGGACTCTCTTGAAAATGAACACATTGTTCATGGGCTGGGTTAACGCAACACCGTACTGATTGATGTTATCGAACCGTGATCTAGTCAGTAACAGATAGAAGTGTCTAGGATGGTTACGCATTCCGAACAGTGAGGATTTCGCGCTTCCAATGTGATAGTGGTTGGCTTGGCTTCTGAAGTCTAGGTGCATGATATTTTGGTTACAGGAAAACCACTGCGTCGTCCAACAGCGAGCCGTGTGCCCGACACTATTCGGATATATTATCGTCCTCAGACTGACGACTTAGAGGATTTAGCAAGGAACGCGCGTGGCAAGAGAACTTGATATATGAGATCGAATCAACAAGACACTGAAAAATCTCATGGCTGTCTTGGAGACTTTTCTGCATTGTTGGAGGCTAGCTGATCTTTACAGCCTCAGTTCAAAAGACAAAATAGGACTTACCACTCGCCTTTCCTGATCAATGCTTTAAACTCCTTTGGTTCTAAGGAAGCCTGCCGAGAAGTGTCTGATTGTGTATATCTATACTCAAGTGCCATCATGCTGCTGGTCCTGACGAGCTTCCACTCGCTCTGTTGAAAAGTGGCGGGAGACTTCTCAGCCTGTGTCTGTTTATTTGGGTCTAACTGGGAGAAACAGACCATCCTAGACAACTGGGGTGAGTCGACAGCAGTGCCATTTTAAAAAAGGATACTTGCAGTGAATGTAGTAACCAGAGGTGTCAGCTTGACTTCTACTATGACACTGTGTCACTGGTTGCTTTTTGTCTTACGGTTGCACGCAAACCTTTGACTCGTGAGAATCAAGCGGGATTTCGACCGGTATTGACCACAGCTTCACATCCCACCAGGTGTTAGAGCAACGTCATACGTACAGATGACCCACAATCTTGGCATTCCTTGATTTCAAGGGTGTGTTCGATTCTGTCGACCGACCAGTGCAGTTAACTACACTTGCCCAACAGGGTATCTCCATAAGTTTTTGAACATAACCTGATCCTTATATTAATATACTTCAAGGCGGGTGTGCGGTGTGCGCTCCAAAAGCTTCCCTACAAAAAGTGGTGTTCGACAAGAATATGCACTCTCTCCATTCTTGTTTAACTTCATCATTGATAAAACACTGAGGCAAACGCTGGGAGGTCTTCAAAACCCCGGTGTTCAAATTGTTGCTGGTGTGAGCCTTGTCGATCTGGAGTACACAGATGATATCGCACTCATGTGTGAAGACCCAGCCGAAGCACAAGCCCTGTTGAACGGACTGATCACCATAATACCATCTTTTGACGTGCGCCTTGCACACTCAAAGTGCGAAGTCATGCTTCAGAACGTGCAGTCTTTGAACATACCCCTTACAATTCAAGGAGAATCATTGGAAATTGTGCAAAACCTCACATACCTCGGTAGTTGTATTAGCTCTGACGGAAATGTGTCCGTTGAACTCACGGCAAGTCTCAAAGGCTCGAATCACGTTTGCCAATTTGCGTCCCACGTGCAGTCAAGAAGGCATATCATTGGGTTTTAATAGTCGCGCGTGCCAGGCTACAGTAAGGGCGAGACGTGGTCTCTGCGGACAGATGTGAGGTGTCTTGAGGTTTTTCACCACCGATGCCTCAGAATCGTTGCTGGTGTCACGCGGATTCAGCATCTTAGTTTTGAGGTAATTAGAAAACGTGTATTTGATTGTGTAGTAGGCTCTTAAATCGGGGAAAACATCCAGCACCACCGACTACGATGGCTCGATCATGTGCTACACATGCCGAAACACCGTCTACCGAGACAAGTGTTGTTCTCCGTGCCTCCTTCAAAATGGCGCAAACCGCGTGGCAGACAACGCATGACTTCGCAAAGGGGCATGAAAGAGATCATGAAAGAGATCACTTGTACGCTGCTGCTTTTCATTGCGCTTTTCAGGTGTACGCTAAATGCTAGATATGGCCTCTACGGATAGATGATGTGGGGCGTCTTCCGGTTTTCGACCACTCATGCCTCAGAAGCGTGGCTGGTTATGGATGGCGTCAGGGTGTTAGTAACGAGGTGATTGGAAAATGGGTATTTGGTTATGCTGCAGGCACTCCAATCCGAGAAAACATCCACCATAATCGACTACGATGGCTCGGTCATGTGCTGCTCATGCCGAAACACCGTCTACCGAGACCAGTGTTTTTGTCCGTGCCTCCTTCAGGATGGCGCAAACCATGAGGTGGGCAGCACATGACTTAGTAGAAAGGCGTTAAAGATATCACGGAGAGCTTGGTTGTTGTTGGTGTTGTACGCCTTCTAGGATGGGTCCGCGTGACCTCGTCTGCATGGCTGGAGACGTTGCAAGAAATGGCGGTCAATCGATGTCAGTGGCGTTCTGGCTGTCAGTTTTTTTCCAGATTGTCTGATTAAGCTGTTGGAGGTGTAGGCCCATCCTCTATTTTCAGCTCATGTACTACAGTTATTAGACGATTAAAGCGTACATTACGTCTTCCTATTCTGTCTCCTTTCTAATCCCGTCCTGAAACTACTCGACTCTCGCAACACTAGGGTGAAAAGAAGAGAAAAAGAGTGGGTGAGGGAGGGAACCTATTGCAGACCTATGTCAAGCATTCTGATGGGCCTACACCTCCAACAGCTTAATCAGACAATCTGGAAAAAAACTGACAGCCAGAACGCCACTGACATCGATTGACCGCCATTTCTTGCAACGTCTCCAGCCATGCAGACGAGGTCACGCGGACCCATCCTAGAAGGCGTACAACACCAACAACAACCAAGCTCTCCGTGATATCTTTAACGCCTTTCTACTAAGTCATGTGCTGCCCACCTCATGGTTTGCGCCATCCTGAAGGAGGCACGGACAAAAACACTGGTCTCGGTAGACGGTGTTTCGGCATGAGCAGCACATGACCGAGCCATCGTAGTCGATTATGGTGGATGTTTTCTCGGATTGGAGTACCTGCAGCATAACCAAATACCCATTTTCCAATCACCTCGTTACTAACACCCTGACGCCATCCATAACCAGCCACGCTTCTGAGGCATGAGTGGTCGAAAACCGGAAGACGCCCCACATCATCTATCCGTAGAGGCCATATCTAGCATTTAGCGTACATCTGAAAAGCGCAATGAAAAGCAGCAGCGTACAAGTGCATGGTCGGAGTCCACGCTGGTGTTCCAGAAGGAGCGGCAGGCGGTGATCGACCTTCGCCACCGATAACTGACGGCGTTGTGGTCTATCTGGATTCGGCGCTAGTTTGATGGTGGACGCCACGTTGTCAAGCGATTTCCACTGTTTCGGAGCGTTCGCATTGTAAAGGAACAGTCAGTTATCGGCACACATCTGAAGTAAGCGGCCTCCGTTGTCCGTGCGTCCCGTGTCCAAACCAGGACGACCACCCAATCGGGCCTCAGCAGCGCTTAGTCTATCTACCTGGGCGTCCATTTCGCCAGCAATCACAACGATATCTGAGCTTTTAGCCTGCTTTAGAAGGGCACCTAGAGCGTCATAGAAACGGTCCTTGACAGATTCAGAGCTACGGTCATAGCGTAAGCAGAAACAATAAACAGGGTGCGATGAACCTCACATTTTCTAGATTCTCTCATAGCTGTTGCCAAACGAACCACACAGAATGAACCATCAACGGGTATCCAATCAAGCAGAGACGCTTTCGTTCGGTCGCCCAATACAATACCCACCCCAGCATTCCAACTGCGGAGGCCCCTGCATCACCAGAGGTGCGCAGCCGGAACCTGGAAGAGAGTGAGGGGGCAGTCAGTTCGATCACAGTACTTGCGTCCTGCATCCTCGTTTGTGACAAACAACATAAATAAATGCAGAGGGAATCCAGCGTAGAAGCGAGAGTTACCTGTTGACCTGCTTGCTTCAGTGTGCGAACACTGAAGGTGGCTAGGCAGACAGGCTTTCGGGGTTGCAACTGAACTCGGAATTGCCAAAGCTGCAGCTGAGTGTGACGCAGGGCGAGCAAAACGGTCAGTCCTAGAGCTGGGACCTGCGGAGAAAGTATTCAAATTTGGCCGGGAGAGGGTGAAAGACGGAAGACGTGAAAGTGTAAGAAAGGTGTCAGCGGTAGCATGTTTTCGCTTACCCGCCCTGCTGTATGCAGCAAGTAAGGCAACCCGCCTGATGGCACCACGCGACGGCCGATGTGGCTGAGAATATTGTTAGTTGTGTATGTCATGGTTGTCGGAGGGCTGAAATACTGTCAGGGCACCCACATCTAAACAGGAGGACGATTAGGCTCCTCAACCAAAGCCTTTGGCTCGAAAGCCAAACCGCAAGGCAGTGGTGTTCGGCTGGAAATGCAGGCACATTACCATTTTTACGGAACACGTCGCCATGCATGTTCCAACCCCCAACCTGGAGGGCCAGGAGACTGTGTTCGTTGGACCTCTACCCATGGACCAACCTGGTATGAGAAACTGTGTCGCGCGGACACCGCCCAGTATAGCTCAGTGGGTCGCTGAGGTACACAAACCGCCACATCACGGTAAGGTCGAGTCTCTTCGATGTCAGTGGCGTTCGTGCTGTAAGTATCTATCCAGATTGTCTGATTGGGTGCTTGGAGGTGTGGACACCTCAGAATGCATGACATCGGCAGCACTAGGTCCCCTCCCTCACCCAGTGTTTCGCTATTTTACTCTTGGGCTTTAAGTATAATTAGACGAAACTTATGGTTGTACGACAGTGCAGCATATTGTCAGCACTGATGTTGCTGTCTTGATGATGATGATGGTGGTGGTGGTGGCGATTACTGTGTTGATGATGATGGTGGTGGTGATGATGACGATGGTGTTTTATTTGGCTCTCATGAGTGTAATCCTTTGAGGGGAAACGAAACAGCCGAAAGAGTTCATTTCATACCAGAATCAACGAGAGGTTTTCCATTTGTGTTTTGCAAAAGTAGTTAGACAGGTTCATTAGGATGAGCGAAGAACTGTCGTCTTTCCATAGAAGTGCCAATTCTGTGTTCAGACGTCTTATACGGGGCTAGTTCATATAGTCCTTATACCATTGAATCTCAAGCCGCAGGATCTGGCAGCTGGGTGGTTGACATGTTTGCACTGCCCGAAAATCATCAGGAAACCATTTTAGGTGATGCGACCTTATGATCATTGGTGGTTAATTGGGGAGCAGTCATGGGCCTGCTTAGTAAAAGGAGCGAGGCGAAGCAATGAATCCGTAACGATCGATGTATCCAGCGCAATCCTCGAAGTGGTTACCCAAAAAGCACTTCGCAAAAACAAGCCCGTCTTCACTCTAACAACCACCTGCTGTTCGGCGGGAACTATGTTTGTCCGCCGTAATTTTGCGACAGCTTATATGGCATTTCTTCAAGTGCCCTGGTATTTGGGCCACAGGAGGATTAACAATCAGCTACACATTTAGTTAAGTTCAACGGTATCGTTTTATGGAATAAAAATAGCTAAATATGCAAATCGCGTGCTGCAAGAGTAGGGAATATCAGATTATAATAGCTGAACTATATATATATATATATATATATATATATATGTCAG